GTGAGATCTAAAACCTGCAGGGACACCGGCCCTCGTGGACTGGGATTTGGGACCCTGGTTTAAAAGACTGGAATGTTCTTTGTTACAACTCTCCCAGACTGACGTTACTCCCCATGCATGAGATTGAAGCAATAAAGGCTTTGTTACAACCCGCGTTGGTCAAGTTACTTGAAAAAAGTAATCAGTAAATAATTACTGATTACTTCCCAAAAAAGTAATCCCATTACTTTACTGATTACTGATTTTCAAAAGTAATCAGTTACTAAGTTAATTTTTTTTAAAAATGATTTACAACCTGAATAGGTGATAAAGCGACAGATCTTTCAGCCCAATTCTACTTTTTCTGCATCATGCAAAATGTAATCAAATGAAAGAGTCTCTTTATAAAACTTGTTTTATTAGTTTTAATCTTTTAACTTTGCGCATGAGGCAAACATTAAATTATATGCAACATTCTCTGACTGGAAGAAATTTGTTTAACATTTAAACCCATTTTCTGCACATTCCAGCACATAAAATAAAATATTTTTTTGTGTTTACACTTAGGGCTGTGTATCATCACTCATTTCTAGAATCGATTCGATTCCGATTCACAAGGTCCCGAATCGATTCGATCCACGATTCGATTAAATTCGATTCGACTCGATTCAGTTTTAATCGGGGAAATTTTGCCTCAGACAGTCAGAAATATTATAATTTAGATCACGCATCAGTACATTTCTATATTTTTATATCTATAAAAACAAAGCTGACACTTGCGAGACTTTATCAAAGGTGTATAAGCATCACAGCAGATGCCTTTGTGTCAAAGTAGCTGAGGATAAAACACAGAAAAACATGAAGGTGATTTTCCAGGCCTGGGATTTTATAAAAATATTCTGCAGTAGATCAAAAACAAAGAAAACCATTAATCAACTTATAAACATTACCTGATGCTGCTGAACTGAAGCAGAGCAAAGTTACAAAGGTTTTATTAGAGAAACATCTCTGCATGTAGTGTGATTTTATCGTGGTGGCAGCAAAACAGTAAGAGGGAATTCATGACGATGTTTATGTGAAGCATAGTTTGCTGCTTCTTTTGCTGCTGGTTCAGTCAGTATTGTTTGGAGAGAGATAAAACCAGCAGCTTCAGAATCAGGGCAAAAAGGGCGTAAACACAAAGCGCGGACCGCGTTTACGTAGTAGTGCAGAATCTGTGTTCCTGCTCTCATTTACTGTTTTAGCTGTTTGGTGGTTGTTGAAATTTTGTGAGGTTTAACCTGAGATTCTGGCGTTTTGGGCGAAATAAATTTATATTAAAAAAAATCGATTCAGGATTTTAATGAATCGATATCACGTTATCCAAGCGAGAATCGATTCTAATCGATAAATCAATAGTCAAAACCCACCCCTATTTACACTCACTCTTTCAAATAAATGCAAGTGAAACACAGCAGAAAATAAATATAATCAAAGACTCAGTGGTCCTGTTGCTCTATTTTACCTGTATAGCAGGAGTGAGGCAGGCGGAGGTTTGCCCTGGTGCAGGTGTGTCATAGCGGTCAGTGGAAGGATATGGCAGTTTCACATTCCTGTGGCAACGTACTCGGTGCTTGCTCAGAAGTTTAGGGTTTTTTTCGCTGTAAAAAGAAGTTTTCTTCCCATGCAGTGAACAGTGGACGCTAATGTTTTTGTCACTTTTTATGGAACCAAACTCAAAGTAAGGTCAGTACTTCCACGCTTTAAACGCTGCACGCTCATACTCTCTCCCACACTCGATATATGATCCATTGTTGATCTGCACACAGCTGTTGTCACGAACGTCGCACTCGCTTACGTCACTGTCATGAGACACTCTCGCAAAAAAATCACGGTTTTAGTAACGCAGTAACTTACGGGAAAGTAACAGTAATCAAATTACCTTTTTTGCAATAGTAAAGACAATATATACAGATCAGATTCATGATGAATATGCTCAGGTCAGAAGGAACAGCAGCTGGATTCCAGCAGTTGGACTCCTTCGGTGAGGAGTAGGCAACGAACTCTAAAAAGTTCAAACAGCATGGGACTAGTCACAGTTAAAATAATGCACCACTTCACTACAACTAAATCTATATCATCTGCGTCACAACACTTAAACTTCCTCCATTTGTTTCACATTAAAAGTCTTGAAACCAAACTGTCACAAACAAGCTTTTAATGTGAAGGAAGTGTTCAGTTTGGAAGTTTTAGCAGAAAAGTCTCATCTGTGCTGGGTCTGTGACTCTGAGTGTACACATACAATTTAAGGATTCAAAAGGGAACATATTAACATCTCTGGGTAATTTATTCACTGGCTGTTCAAAGCAAACTCCAAGAAATCAAATAGAAAAAAAAAAAAAAGAAAAAAAAAAGCTCAGACAGACCAAAGAGTGAAAAAGAAGGAGGTAAGTGAACTCTGGTCTCCTTCCTGTGCTTTTAGAGTTTCGCACCACTTCCTGTGCTCACACTGTTAACGTTGGCCTAAGATCCAGCTCAGCTTCATTGTGTAACTCAAATGGTATTTACTGGCATCCTTTATTTTTGTGAAGACCTTTATCATTATCCTTCAGCAAAGTGAATTACCCATTAACCATAGCAAAAAAGCTCCGTTACTTTTAACGCCGTTATTCCCATCACTGGTTTTAACTGCTCTTAAATTAAACTTTGCTTATAAACACTAAACAATATAATATACCTCACATATTAATTTTTTATTCAATATTCTTTAGCTGTGAATAATGTCTCAAAGTAGTGTATAACATGAATTAGACATAAAATAACTGCAGTGAATACACAAATAAGCACTAAAAAAAAAAAATGTATTACAAAATGAACATGCAATGTAAAAAAATACATGGAAAGCCAAAGACCAAACTCAACATGAAGCCGTGTGTGTGTGTGTGTGGGCCTTGCAAACATAGGCATCACACTTGCAGCATCTCAGGCTTGTTTTGTTGTCTCTCGGCGCACAGAGCTCACAGCGCTTCCTTTTCTGCCCGTGTCTTTGTTGGGGGAGAGTCAGCGGCCAGTGGCTGGGGCTTGTCACACTCTTAACCAGACTGGCAGAGGCTGGTGTGCGGGGAATGTACTGGTGCTGTTGAATAAGAGGAATCACCAAAGCTTTCCCCAGCTCTGCTAGGAAAAGTCTCTTCCTGAAACTCTCCCCCTGATTCCAGGTTGGGTTGATGGCTGTCCACACCACATATGTGTTGAAAGCAGACACATCAAGGATCTTGTGGAACAGTGCCACAGGCCAACGAGCTGTCATTAGCTTGCAGGTGTATGTGCCAGTAAGCTGCAATAAAAGGAACAATAAATAAGAGATGGGGAACATATTGAATCTGTCGTACACAAAATGCTATGATTCACATAAATGAAAATGAAATACATGCAGGATCGATGAAACTTTACATTACCTTATCAAGGCAGTCAACAGCTCCTTTGTTCTTCTTGTAGTCCTGGATTATAAGGGGCTTCCTGTCCTCTGTGGTGCTGACCGCGGCGTCTTTGTGTAGCGTGCTCATCGGGATGACATTTCTATTCTCCGTGGGAAAATCCAACACAAGTGTGTGTGTGTCAGTGAAAGCACATGTTGATGAGAGTGCCTCTCTTCCGCTGGTGGATACTTGTGCAGGGGAAAGTTCAGGCTTGTTGTCACATGTGGTATTATGCCCTTGGAGACTGGTTGTTTTGTCCAGCACAACACGCACGCCCTGGTTTTCTTCGGCTCCTCCACTAGTGGGTTTCCCCGTGTATACCTGCATATTCCAGGCATAGCTGCTCCTGGCGTCACATGCTACCCAGACCTTTATTCCACATTTCCCTGGATTGCTTGAAAGGTACACCTTGAAGGGACAGCGACCTCTGAAAGGAACCAGGCACTCGTCAACCGTCACCTCAGGACCTGGATTGTACATAAGTGGAAGGCGCTCCACCCACCTGTCCCAAATGTTCCTGATGGCAGCCAGTTTGTCATTTTGTCCTGTATCTCTGTTATCAAATTGAATAATTCTTGAAAGGACACGAAATTGTTCTAAGGACATGGTTGCTCGGAATATGGCCTGCCAGACTC